TGTGTGTGTGTGTGTGTGTGTGTGTGTGTGTGTGTGTGTGTGTGTGTGTGTGTGTGTGTGTGTATGAGATTATGGGCAGACGTCCACAGCGCTGCTGTGTTAAGAAAAAAACGCTGTTGTGGTTTAACCGTTCTGTCTTTTATTTATTTCTTGGCACAATGTTGTGTTTTTTAATATATGAATACGTATGTAACCGTGGCCAGACAGCTTGTAGCAAAGCCAATTTTGCTGCCTTTCCCAAGGAGAAAGTTTTCCTTTCCTCTGTCGCGCTGATCAACTGGAAGCATCTTTTTTTTTTCCAACTGGCTGACAAATGAACAAGCGTGCTGCTTCTACCTGGAACCGAGATTGGACCATAGAAGAACTGCACAGCTGAGCGTGGTTCATGGGTCGCTGGAACCTGGAGACACACTTCAGCCGAACCTCAAATCAGAACCACAGCAGGCACGACGCTGGAGRAGAGCGGGGGAGTTTTGCTCTTCCAATTGCATCCTACCACGCAAAGAATTGTGTGAGGTGTCTCTTAATTTCAGAACSATCACCCAGGACAGTTAGCTATAGCATAAAGCTCTGTGTGAGCTGTTTCCATACCGTTTCCTCATGGTATTGGATTGTGACAGCATGCCCTCTCTACTGTTCAAGAAAAATGACTAACACTTTAGAATATTTAGGGATTTATCTTAACTGTAMCTTCAGATGACTTTCTACCCCTGCTTTAAATTATAACAATGGTAAATAATCATAGAAATYTTTAGATTAGCGCTTCTCAATTGTAAAATTAGAAAGCGCAAATCCGCATACTGCTAGAAAAAATKAKTAAAAGCCCTAAAGCGCAGACGAGAAGTTTAGGTCCGCAATTAGTGYATTTGTGCTTTAGGGGACTGGTGCCCACCAATGACCCACATTATATTTAAAGTGTAATAACCTTGTGAGTGTTTGCATTGGGAGACCACGCTGAGCTAGGTAAGCTGCTAAAAATGCTCAAGACAAGCACAATATTTAATCTAATAATTAGATTTCTTTTTTACAAATCTTTTTTGACTGGAAAAACTAAAACATATATGGGATTAGCAAACCATTTGTTAAAGAAAAAGAAAAACATAAAGGACCAATTAAGAGGCATCCAAATGGATTACAGTTCAGCCTTTACAAGTGGTGAAAAGCTGATTTTAAAAGAAAAAGCAGTGAATGATTGCTTGGAGCTCATGAGTTTGTTAGACTAAAAACAAACAAAACAAATAAAATCACATGGTAATAAAAAAGTGCAGATCTTTCGAAATGGGATTCTTTGAAAAAACAAACCAATAAAAAGCTTAATTCTGTCTAAACTAATAAGCGATTCAAGAATAAAGCAAATTACTGCTGCACATCACCTTCAGTCTAAATTAAATCATCATGGTTTGTTTAAACACATTTTGCATTGCATTGTTATTTTAGCAAAAGTATTTYGCAAATCTTGCAGGAATTTCTCAGRGCTGCACTGGAAGTGCTAGGGCTAGCTGCTGCCACTGTTGCTTGTGCTTAAAAATATGGAATTCTGCATAAATAAAGAGGCAACAGCATAAATATTTTCCACCAGAATATTTTTAACAATAAAGTTGTTTTAAGACATCAGCATGGCAATTTATTGTTAGCTTATATTAGATTTGTTCAACAAGGTTAGAATTAAACTCTATTCAAATTGAGGCCATTCAAAGAGTTGTCTGCAGCAGGTAAGATTAATTGCTCATAACCTCTGCACAAAACCCCACTTCAAAAGACCTGCAATGGACAGGAAATCAACAGACAGATGCAAAAAATAAATAAATAAATAAATAAAAAATAGCAAGCGCTTCCAAAAGAACAGCAGGTAGCAAAAAAGAAGAGGTACCTGTCACGATTTCAGCAGCTCCTGTTGAAGTGCACGGGAAGATGAGAGCAGGAAAAAAGAGAGAAAAAAAAACAGAAAGATTGTAAGCAGACAGACAACATGCTTAAAGCAACACATCCCTCTGATAAGAAATGTTTTTTTATATTTGTTAAAAAGACATGTTTGAAATTATTGCACTCCAACCTCGTTATTATAATTGTGTAACTTCTCACCAATTAGGAAAGACAAAATCTATCATTGTTTGCTTCTGACTCTGTGATTTCAAAATAAGAAACAACTTTTGTCTAAGAATTTTGTGGCAAAATGGAGGAACAGAGCGAATACATGGACTTTGTTTCCCCCCCCATGTCCCTGATTGAGATTCCAGCTATCACCAGTTTGGAGCAGCCACTGCCTGGAGACTCTCCCCTCGGGACCAGCAGTGTATCCTGGAGAGGAGAGCACCCATTCGGAACAGTGCCCACCCAAACTGGCATCTCGCAGGGCATGAAAGACTGGCATGTTCCTGAGTCCCTGCAGCATTGCTCAGGGCTCTGTACCCTCGGGAGATCCTCCATCATTCATTGTCTGCCATTCATGAAGAACACTCCTCCAAGCTACATGTACACACACACACACGCACACCCTCCTCCCCCTTAATGCCTTGTGCAGCTCATCCACATCTACATTTTACATTTCACACAACATATTTTCTTCTATTTACATACCACGCAGACGTTACAGCTTCTTTACTTAAACCGCGAGCGACAAGAAGCTCGGTGTAATGCACACAGTATGTTCAAGTGACTGCTTGTCTCACTTGTCACTGTCAGCATAATAAGGGTGTAAGGTATGACACATGTCCTTGTTATGCTCCTTTGTGGATTTTCAGCATGTCAACAATTCCCTCAGGACTAAAAGTGAAAAATCTCACACAGCGGGAAGCAAATTTGGAACATGGTCCGGTAGTCTGCTGCAATATCTTAATGCGTGATGCTTTCCTAAAACGTCAAAGAAAAGTTCAGATTGTTTTGGCTTGGGGTTCTGTGATTAGATTATAAACAATAAATTGCTTACTTGTGTAGATAGCTCCTTGAATGATCTTAATTTGGAGAAGCAGGTGTTTGTTCCGACCGGATTACCAAGCTGACAACTAGTCTGAGATCAGAGTCAATTGTTGCCGTCTGAAAACCAATTTCAAAGTTTACATGAAGGCTTTTGAGAATGTTTACCTTGTTGTCAATATAGCAGCCCATGATTATTAAATACAGTGTTGAACTGTGCTTTTGGAAACTTGATGACAACTCAAAATTGCAAGAAAACAACCAAATATTCAGTTGCAGTCTCGCTGACTTCTGAGTGTTTGCAACCAAGAGACCAGCAAGTCACGTGACTGCATTTTGAGCAGCCAGTTTTTGAAAATCACTGCTTATTGTTGCATGCTCTGCTTGCGGAATTATATTAAAAACCCAAGCAACAAGACTGTTTTGAAACTTGTGCAAGAAAAAAATATGCACGTTTTTTTTTTTTGCCAACTAGTCACAACCCAATGAGATTATGCATAATCGTACGTCTTTTTGCAAGTGCAAATAGCAGCAACAGCTAGCTGTTGCGCTTCTGGTGTGGCCTGGGGGCAATTGCAGGAATATAATAGTTGTGCAGGAATAAGCATGTAATCCAATATTAATGATAATGTAAAGATTTCCAAGACAGCATTTGCATGAACTGCTTTGTATTTTAGGAGTTTAAAACGTATTGTTGGTCTTAACTTAKCTCAGACGAGCAATTTGATTGTCACTCTGGTCAAACTTGAACTCTTTTTCTTCAAACCGAGACTGTTTAAAAGCCATCTACCACAAGGAAGGTATTATTTGTTCAAAACTGTTCCACAGAGCCCCAAATCAAATAGACTGAGACATCCCTTTAAAGTGCCTGTCAAAAACTTTTTTTTATCATATAATAATTCAACACATTGAAGCTTCTGGGAAATATGAAAAAAAAAACGTTGATGGTCTGACTTGAGTTTGAATGAGAGCACCGTATGTGTCCCAGTCTTACCAGCCCTCAGGACATTCCATAATGAAGCTTTTGAGTTGCCTTAATTGCCAGGTAATTATAATGTTGTAGCAGCATTATGTAAATGACTCATTATCATCATGTAGGTGTAGTCAATCTGCCCTCTTTTTATGTTGCTCTGTCAGAAGTGTAACCCAGAAAAAAAWGTATCACCCAGATACCAGGACACYTCATTGTTTAATCTTGTCAACAGAGACCTATATCTAAATATGGAGACTCGAGACAGAGAGTGGTGACACCTTCCTTAACCCCTCAGCATGATCCACTTCCTGCCGGTGGCCTCTGAAGGGGCTATAAATAGCATGGTGATGGTAGTGGTGTTGGGCTGTGCCCCMCCATCCCCCCTCTCCTCTGTACCTGCAGCACATTAGGTAGAAGTTATGAGGTGCCAGCTCRCCTGTGATTAGATGTCATGGCTGTCGCTCTGCTTAGACAGTACTGACAGACAGATTCCTGGGGAAATGAGCGCGATGGCATCCGAGCGAGTGCGCCCATTGCACCAATCTGTCAATCACGTGGGATGAAAGCAGGCAGGCCAACCCGTCCTCCAAATGATGTCTGTCCTTGTCTCCTCACCTCCTCTCCTTCTCATCCAAATTTCATCCTCTTGCTTATCATCACCTCTGCACAGTGAGGAGCTTTATGTTCGCAAGCAGAGCAGCTCTCCACCAACAGTTATGTCACATTACCTGCTGGAAACTGGCTCGTTGCGAGCATTCAAAAGGCCACATTCCTGGCATTCGGGGGATTTCTGTYCAACCCATTGCTGCACAAATGAATACATAACAATGTGCMGYATTTTTTAGGCAGACTAAGATCTCCGGAGACGAGATGTCTGCGCCGTAAGAGTGGCACATGGCCTCACTCCCTTCATCGCTACCGCTGAGTAAAAGCAGTGGGGTAACACTAATGAGGCAACATTTCTTCTTAGTACTAGAGTGATGCCTTTGAATTAATGCTCCCTCTTTCAGGTAAAACATTCCCTTGCTTATTTATGCTCATGATCTGCAGCGTGTTGCATGTCAGCCTGGTGTGTGACTGCACTGCAGAAGAGGACACGACAGAGTTAGATGCTGGAGCTCTGTGTTGTTCCCCATAGAGACGCCCACACTGGTTACCTCAAAAACTGTGTTTATGTGCACGTTTGGAAAAAAAAAAGTGCAGTCTTACTGTGGGCATCCCACTGTGTTTTCATTTAATTAGAAGGGATCAGAGGTGGGCTTTAAACTTTTTCTCTTCAATCGGATGGAGATGTGAGCTCCTGCAGTGTGGACCCAATAAACACGGGCACTTTTTTGAGGTCAGTGCGGTTTCACAAAGGAAACAAATCAAAGAGTATCAGCTCGCCCTGAAAAATGAAGAAAAGGTTTAACATCTCATGTTTTTCACACTTTGTTGTCCGAGGAAATCATATTTCAATTGATAATAAACAATTTTCCTTTAGCTTTGCTGTATAAATGCCTTTTGCTTGGGCAATTCTGTTTCTTTGGTAACCACCCTTTCTATAGTCAGTCTTTTAAAATAATGGCATTCAGGCCTGAACTAGGCCTAAATTTAGAAGCAATACTATTGAGTTTTGAGCCTTTTGTTGTAACAAACAGACTTGTACTAAAAGCTTTGGAAAACAGAGCCACAAAGCCTTTATCATACTTTAAATGCATTTAAACCCAACCCAACCAGCCAGTGAGAAATCAGAAAACACTAAACTGTAAGCACAGGTGGGAATATTCAGATTAATTCTCCCCAGAGTCAACTGAGACATAATAATCAGGTAGGCTTACAGGAGATGCAAAGCATGTTTCTGCTCGATAAACTGCAACAAAAAGGAGATTTCACAAATATCCCCACAGAGGTGGATAATTGCTCCTTGTTAATGTGATAYGCTTTTGTTCGTGTCCAATCTCTGCCTCGAATGATTACGGCAAAACAGAAGGACACATGTAGCTAAGAAGAGCCTTTACAATGGGAGATTAAGGTAAAAATCCTTCAAACATGTGGGCAGATAACAAAGTGGATTTATTGAATTGGTTGCCCTGTTTCCTTTGAGAGGAGTACTAAAGACACTTGCAGCTGCAGAACCAAAAGTGCTCAAAATTAAAGATAAAGATTGGTTTTAACAATGTCTTTTTCAAAATAAAATGAAAAAGACAAGTTGAACCAAGGCTGACAATGGAATTTTATTCACAGTATAGACAAAATCTCTGCATTTGAAAAAAGTAAAATAAATAAAC